TTTGTAATTATACAATAAAGTATGGTCAATTCCTCCTTTAGTAAGGGATCAAGTCCTATCTCTGATCAACTGAAGTTGGTTAAGCTTGACTGAGGACATGGGGTCAGGACCCCATAATGGAATAGCCAGCAGGTGAGAAATAACTTGGGCTTTGATAGAGTGATACAGACTGTAAAAAGCACAAGTTTCTCAGTTTCTAGCAAGCTCATATATCAAACGAATCAAAATTTTCAATGCCACAGGCCAAGTTGGGTAATGACTGGATCACAGTCAATTCAATTCCATTTAAAAACTAAGTCAGTAATTGTGTCAGCCAGCGTGGTTCCCAGCTACGCAGTCCAGATAGATCCCAGTTTCCAACTTCAGTTTGTATTGAGACTTGATCAGGGACTGGGTATGACAATTCATTTCAGTACCATTAGTTAGAGTGGATAAAGGTCAATCAGGTTTTCCAGACCTGATCATTCACCATAGAATTCTAAGAAACGCAAATCACAAATATTGATCTTGGATATTATCATGCTGGACTACACTTCAATGGATACAACGGTACCACGGTTATTGGGACTAGACTAGAAATTTAGAGGATCCAAACTCATGTCCCATAACAACAAGTTGTAAAGTTGAATTCTTTCTTAGTAAGACTTACTTCCTTTGGTCCTGTGTGGGATCATGAGGAGCAAGACTCTGTCACTGGCCTTGGTCCAAAGCAATCTCTTTCCCTCCAGCCCAGATTGTGTCTTGCTCTTGAAAATCCTCCTAAAAATGTACTTAAGCAGGTCTTCTTTGGTTTGCCCCATCATCATCTTCTATCGGGTGATGTCCATTTTAGTCTGGTAGGACGTGCATCCAGGAAGCAACGCACATGTCTTGTCAGTCTCATTTGTTCCTCTGTCACAATATCCTGCAGATGCTGCTGATCTATGTCTTCTAATACCTCTTTGTTGGTGATATTGTCTCCCCATGTGAAGCCCTGGATCCTTCATAGGAAATACTTATGTAGGCAATTTACAGTGTGCCACCAGGAAAATGTGCTTAAAATGACCAGACTAACTAACATCCAGGGAAGGGAATCGGCTGCCCCATTGTGCTTGAGCCAACAAGGATTATTCATGGTTCATATTCTTTGCTTCCCAGGGCAACTGGGAAAGGGCAATAAATACGCCCTTTCATGACCCAAAATGAAAATATTGTCACTACTGCAATTAGTGATAAGCTTAAATTAGAATGAATTTTGGATAGTACCCAAAATGTTAATGTCCACATGGTTAAAGAGTGCAATTTCTTTTGGTAAAGCAATGTCAACATGTTAAATATAATGAAGCAGCTGAGATTGCACCTCATCAGACTGTGCATTCACACAGACAAAATCAAAGTCAAAAACTGAAAGCTGAAATTCTTCAAGATATAATTGAACTGGAAGAATGGAATTTTTATATATTGGCCTATGGAACAGAAGTGATCAGGAAGGGACAAGGACAAGCACAAGCACAAACTTCAGTCCTGCAGTGGTGTCAGGGAGAAGCTGTCCTGTATCTCCCAGCTCCATGGAAAGATATCTTTCTAAATAAAAAGAACAAATATTTTTGATGAAGGGCTCCAGCACTGCTACTGGAAAGGCCGCATATGGATCACACTTTCTGGCATCAACAGCTGAGCCGTTTCAATAGGGAGCCTCAAACTGATGCTTATCCCTTCTGCCTATTTGAAGATCCAAAGGGCCTAATGCTTCAGGCACGTAGCCCTGTCGTCTCTCAATCTTTCTTGACCAATGTGCCCTTTGTGCTTATGAAGAACATGCGTGCCACACACATCGCATTGGACGCCTCACCACAAGTTTTGCACCGGAAAAACAAGCACGTATTATCAAGTTTCTTGGCCATAGTCCTGATACTCTTCTAAGTGTGTCAATAACTATTCAGTCAATTCTTAACAGCATTAAAAACCATAAATTGCAAGCATCTTTCACTGACATAACATGTCCCAAAATTCTTCACATCCAAAGAGGTATTTTCAAAGTGTGGAAATCCAAGATGTGCACAGCAAGGTTCCACAAAAAGGGCAAATGACCAGATCAGGTTTTTTTGGCTCATGTTGGTTGAGAGGTAAATGTCAACCTCAACTGTGGAAAAGGAAACTTCCCTGCTATGCTTTCATTTGAGAAAGCAAATGGGAAATTTAGTACAATGAAAGACGGCAATTTCAAGAATATAGCTCCTGCACTGCACTGTAGTGTCAGCCAAGATTATGTGCTCAAATCTTTCAAGCGTGACTTGTATCTTTGACCCTCTGATTCAGAAGTAAGATGACATGCCAATTAGGGGTGGTGCTTCGATTCTAACACAATTTCCAACAAATGGGCATTATATCAAGTTTAAAAGTGTAAAGTTCTCTTCCAGTCCTATAACAAAATGCTTGCAAATTTTGTTACTGTTGATTTTGGAATTAGAGTATAACTTTCAACTGGTTTATTGGACAGAGACAACGTATTGATTACGATACATTACAGAAAAAAATCTATGCAGACTCATCACTTACTGTAATAACTTAAAGGTATTACTGGAAGGTCTGGCAAAGAGCCAATGCAGTTTGACAACCATGTACTATTCTCACATATACTGCCTCTGTTCACCATATCCTACAGAATGAGCCCTGATTTTTGATTTTTAAAGATTCTTTGTAAAACATTGTGATGGCGTTGAAGCTTTCGCCATGGCCTGCATAACTTTGTGAACTATCCTCTGTTGTCTATGCCCTTCTGTTAGAAGAGTCTTCATTCAAGATGCTGTTGGATTTCAATTGCTGTTGGCTGGTCCTCAAGTTGGATTTTTAATGTCACTTCAGTGATATTAGTTTTGACGATAACACCATTAAAAATATTTGACAAAAGCACCAGAAGTCATTCAGCTTTCTGACTGCAGTACATACTTAACCTTGGATCCTGTGGTTAAATCCTCTGGCAATCACCTACTCTGATGACTTATTTATACCAGAATGGAACTGAATCATGCTAAGGTCTGTGGGTCAATACTGCCTACTGTGATTGAGCAACAGCAGTTAATCAATCAAACCCTGCATTAGGAAGGAAAATAAGGATTCTGCTCATGATTCCTACATAGCCATTCTTTGCTAGAAAGGCACCTACGTGAGAACAAGTTAGGATTTAACAGTGGTGCCTCAACTGTCAAATATTTAGCTAAACTTCATTGTTAAAGTTCACAGACAAGGAAAGATAACTTGGGAGAGGAAGTGGAGAGATGCCAATGGCCTTGAAATTAAAGCCCAGCAAGAGACAAGCAGGAGAGGCACGGTGCTCTTTCATATTTAGGAATTAAGTGTTCAAGCTTTCTTGCTGCTTACGATGAACAGAATAATAAGTTAAAGGAGGACATTTAGCCCATCATACAAATACTGGATATTTGAAAACACCATCCGATCAGCCTCACTCAACTGTGCTTTCATCAGTGTTTTGTTTTACTTCATATATACAAATACTTTTCCCTTTTGCAATGGCTTCTTGAACCTGCCTCTACCACTTTTACAGGCATCCCATCCAAGACTTGCTTCCTAAAAGAGTGGGACACAAAATTGGACCTCACATTTCAGCTGAGGCCTAATCAGCAACCTGTAACATTTGCACATTATTTTCTTGCTAGATTGCTAATCTTTTAAACTCTCTCTGGTTCAACATGATATGCATTCTGGAAAATTAAAAAAATTACTTTAAAAATAGTTGCAAATTAACTGCCTCGTTGTTATTCAAATAATTTCCGAAACACTCAAACTGCTGCGCGGAGATAGGAATCCTTAGTTCAGAAAAGATTTAAAAATGTTTCTTCCAAATGCATTTTTGCAAACAACACAAAGAAAATAGCCAAGCTGAAGATCACAGCATTCAAAGCCTGAACAGACTTTTTTAGGTATCAGCCAGGGAGACACAGGGACATGTAATGCTTTCACCCAGTAATCCATACTGCAAATCATTTTGCTGTTCTCAGGATTTTATTCAAATAAAAAAAGATCGTGGGCACCTTAACTCCGGTAAATAATGAGGCTATTTACAGAAATGATTATGATTGATACAAAGACTGGCTACATTTAAGCCCTGCCTATCCAATTCCATCCTTTTCAAATAGTGTTATGAGTGTTGATTGAATTTTGCTCGTTAAAAATAACAATTTTCATCAAAGCTGTAATGTGTTATTCCAGAGAACAGACCTTGTACATTCACTCTTGCAGCGGTGATATTGATCCATCTGAAAAAAAACGTAATTTTCTTCAAGCCAGTCAGAATTCAATAACTGATGACATTTATTAGACTGTTGAGGCAATTCAAGATTCCGTGAAGGAAGGTGAACACCTCAAATTATGAAACACTTTTGAACCATTCTCCTTGTGAGGATGAATTTAAATTATTGATCATTATCTGTCCATTATTGCCGAACAAAGTAATCTCTCGAATTGGACACAAGAGTGCAAGTAGAATCACAACTTGGAGAACTGTTCGTGGTGACAGGGGATGGGGTGGTGGTGGTGGTGCAGGGCTGGCAGACTTTGGATACAATATTATTTTCCCTGCACAGGGGTCTGGAGTCTGTAGCGTATTAAGGACTGATGTGATTTTCAACCTCAATTGATCCAACTTTATTGGTAATTAAATGGCTTGTTTCATACAATTTAAACTTTTATTAACACTGTACTCGTGGGAAAGTATCATTCGACTGACAACTTTTCTCGTAAAAATCGTTAAATTTTGTTGAAATGTGTCTCTGTTTTGCTTTTTGTTATTATTGGCAATTGAGTAAGACTTAAATTGAGTAACATTTAAATTTAAGGAGAAAAGTTCCCGCTTAAGTTCACTGACACTGATCTAAGAATATTACAGATAAAAGGAAAAGCAGCTTCTTCAGAAACCATCGCTACAGCTGGAACTCAATCCACATCAATTTGTTTTAGTGACAGCTTTTGCACCATCACGTCAGTCTACTCTGTCAACTAACCTGATCGGCTCGGGTTTCAAATGAAAGTTCAGTGCTTCGACAAGGAGCTCCGCTGAAAATGGTGGCTTTCCTTCCTTTCTCTGAATATCGAGGTGAGCAGAATTACACAAGGCATGAACACCACTATCCGTACGACTGGAGATCGAGATATTGACTTCATTGACCGGCCGGAGCTTCTGCACTGCATTCTAGCGTTCAATGAAAACACAGATCAGTAAGTTGCAGCACAATATTCAGTCCAGTAACATCTCTGCACTACAAATCAAGGTGACAGGCTGTGGTCCATCTTGCCACACACATTCAAGATTGAAGAGAGTAAACATGCGGCAACTTTAATCAGAAGTAAGAATTAGGTGATACCAAGTGGATTTTAAAAGCTTGACACTTAGTGAAAAACAGCTTGGGAATTAATATCAGTAATGGTATCAAATAAGCACTTAACCCTCAGATCACAATTCCTTGTTTTGCTATTTTGTTGGAGGCTTTAAACCTGTTAAAGACTTTGTGAAAGGCAGGGAGAGCCACTTGACATGAAAAATGTTTAAGGTTTTACACAATCAAACTGTCAATTGTGATTTCTAAGGTAAGAGGAGGTAAGGAGACCTATAGTGTGAGGTCAAGGAAAGATGCTGGAGGAAAAGAACGTGTGGTATCACCTCACAAGAGTTCCTCTGCTATATTCCAAGCTGAGAAGTGAGGCTCAGGAAATGAAGCAATGTTCTGTGGAGGTTTTCCAAATGGCAATATTTACTGAAAGAGGGTGTCCACCCGAACCTTTCTCTCACCAGAAACACAATGCAACTTCAGGAACCTTTAATGCTGGGAAATGGTGGTGTAATTGCCCATAACCCTAAACAGTTTGCACATTTGTTTAAATATATAAAACACCAACTTCTCTTCACACACATACTTTTGTTTCCCATTTCTCTCTTGACATTCAACTAAAACGCTAAAGAAGCCAGATGGATGATTTCAAATGTCATTTTATTAAGCAGCTTTGCTTTAAACAGATGCTTTTATTAGACTGAATGCAGAGAACCTCATGAACCAGTTTACAGCTGTGTCTGTAGTCTAAAGTGAGGAAAACTTGAGCAATTTTGCTAAAAGAAGAAGCATTTGCATAGTTTGCCAGGCTTCTGTATCCACTTTTCATGGAGAATGGAAAATACCTGGAAGAAGCGAAGCAAATCAAATATTCATGAGTGAAATATGCCTTTGTATTTTCCTCTCCCACTGTCTCCCTTTAGTGGAGTACACATATTGCTGTAATTACTGGGTTTGGAAGGTACTGATGAAAAATGTTCTCTCGCTTCACAAAGGTTTATCAGGCCAGCTGCATCCAAGTATTTGGTGACAACGCTGCAGGAAAGTTTGTTAACGTTGCTCAATGAATGGACTTCATTCAGCTTTTGGTCCATGAGAGGGCACGACCCTGACGGCAGAATTCTACAGGCTTTTTGTGCGTGGCTAGAGAGGTTGGTGTGGCAGCAGTAAAGCACTGGCAGCTATACTGGGGTGAGATTTTGAGCAGTCTCACTGCTAAGGACGTTCCTGGCTTGGCTGCGAGCTGAATAGAGACTGGCAGCCAATTTAAATAACCAATGATCTAATTAAGGGTGACTTTTTCCCCAGGATGCTAGCATTTCGGTTTCAGAAAAAAAATGGTAAAATTTGTGAATAACACATACTTGTCCGCCTTATCTT